TGTAAATAAGATCTCAAGTCCGCATCTTGTACAGCAATTAACCACTAAGAAGAATATATGCAGTGTGTTATTTGTTAAAACTGTACTTCCGATTTGATTTGAAACTGTCTCATTGCTGTCTGTTTATCAATAAAATTTTGAAAAAAAAAAAGGCACAAACATATTCTATCATGTTTTTGTTTTTTTTGTTTTTGTTTTTTGTTTTGGTGGTACCAGGGATCAAACTCAGGACCTTACACTTGCCAGGCAAGCACTTATTCCACTGAACTATCTCCCTGCCCCCCATATTCTATCATGTTAAACACCTAAGGAAACAACTGAATCTAATTCTCCTATTAATTAAAAACTCTGTACTAAGGACACAGATCTATGAGGTAACAAAAGCACCTCACACTCAACTGCAGTCCTTAGTTCAGCTTTCTGTCTCCCTTTCTCCATTACAGAGAGAAGATAGTAATACAGACGCTCATTTCTAAGCTCCTAGACTTTTAAATAACACATCTTAAATGAGCAAGGTTCTGCATACCCAGCAAGACTTTTTTCCCCTAACTGTGCCTCTAGGCAAGAAGAACAAAATTAAAATAGCTGAATCAACTGGCATCTCCACTTTTGCCAAATGACTAACCGGGGCCTTTATTTTTAAACACATGTTAGACACTCATCTGTCATGGTTAGGTCAAATACAGGCCATCGTGCAGGCAGAATCAGATGACTTTTGAGGTCTCGACCAGCCATATGATTTGTCAAACAAAAATGTAATTATGTCCTCAGGTTAAAAAAAAGAAAAAAGAAAAGCCACCACTCCAAAGCCCAGATGTCTCAACTATAACCTGCTAAAGTCAGTAAATGAAAAAAGAAATCCCTTACCCCTCCTTTCAGTGAGTCAAGAGCTAAGGTTGAGAGCTGCTTTAAAAAGGAAATAAAAATAAGACAAGCCAGAAACCAAGAGGGAGGGGAGTTAGCGTTGGTGGTGACGAATCAGGTCACTAGACCCAGAGGGTGTCTCCTTAACTGTGCAATTAGGACCTCAATAAAAGGCTCCAGTGCCTGCCTCTGGCTCACAGCTGTTGCCCCACATTCTGCTGCCCGCTCCTGAACAAGGTAAGTCTCATAGATGATCTGCTCGAGCATACTCAGGCTCTTGGCTGCAGCTTTGCTTATATGTGAGATTGTGTCAGTGGCTCAGAAGAAATACACTCAAAGCCAACCTCCATTCCTAACACTAAACTGGGAATCCAGGCATCTAAAATGCATTCTTTTCTCTTGGAACTTCTTTATTTTCTTTCTTTCTTTCTTTCTTTCTTTCTTTCTTTCTTTCTTTCTTTTCGCAGAACAGGGGATTGAACTCAAGCCCTTGGGCTTGCCAGGGAAGTACTTATTCCACTGAGCCATCTCACTGGCCCCTTTATTTTCTTTGTTAAAAAATATAAACTGTTCACATGACACAGGCATACTACTATTTAATAAGGCATGGGACTCAGATTGTTATTTAAAAGAAATCCTAGAATCATTTAATGTCTGAGGAGTGTGTGCTTTGCTTTGCCGCTGAATTCGTTTCTGTTCTCAGCAGAGAGAGTTGGACCCAGCCAAGGTAGGAAGCACACAGGCGGACACTCTGGAAGGGCTGATCTCCCTGGGTTGGCTTCATTTGTACATTTCAATACTTACATTTGAGCTCTTTCTTTTCTCACACTTTCCTTACAATAAACTGTCCTCTGAACACATAGCTATTGCTATTGACTGCAGGACAGGGTGAAATGTCTCTTCTGCGGTGTAACCTCTTGTGGAAGATCTCTCACTGCAATGTCCAGTACAAAACTAAATCACTCCTGGAATTGCGATCCCATGTTCTAAGACAGCAGTTAATGCAAGCGGAGTCGGGGTAGGAGCAGAAATAATGGCAATCGTGGTATTCCTTTCCTGAAGGACCTATGCTGGGAAATGAACTGCTTCTTCTTCCTCACAGTCTCCTCTGAGTTTGTGAAGATGCCTGGGCTCCTGAGAGCTGTCCTCTGCATAACTGAGGCATTCCACAAATATGCCAGAGAGGATGAGGACAAGGCACTGCTGACCTGCAGAGAGTTGAAACAGCTCCTTGAGGGCGAGATTGGGGACTTTCTTCAGGTGAGGTTCTCATACTTCTAGAAATTCTTCCCCACTTACCTCTTCCATATAATCCAAGAGAAATAGACATATGTGATCTTTGCCCATTTTGCGCTTGGTTGCCGGTTGGAATGCTTTCTGGCTTTTAAAGAAATGTGGTCTCATTTCCTCAACCAACGCATACTTCGTCCCCCAGAGAAAAGGAGATTTTCATTCCTAGGACTATTGCTTCAGCATAGTAGGCCTTTGAGTGGAGTCATAAACCACTATGCATCTAATTACAGCTCACAAGTGATGTACACGCACTTTAGTCATAGCCCTCTGGTGAGACGGTCACCAAGAGCCAATAAAATTCTTACTGATTTGAGAAATTTCATGATTCTTGAGGAATTGGATTCTGACAATGTGGGTGTAGCTCAGAGGTGGAGTACTTGCCTAGCATGAGTAAGCCTCTGGGTTTGAGATGTACCACTGGGTGAAAGAAGGATTCTCAGGAGGCGTTCATGCAGGACACTTGGCTACATATGAATAAGCTGTTTCTCACTGTGTTTTCATGCAGCCACATGTCATTCATGCTGTGGAGAGACACCTGAATCTTCTGGAGATTGACAATGATATCACCATCAGTTTTGATGAATTTGTTCTTGCAATCTTCAGCTTATTGAACCTCTGTTATCTTGACATACAGTCATTACTAAAGTCAGAACCAAGAGAGGAACCTAAGTCAGAAAGGGGGAAGTCAAATGACGTGGATCTTCAGGAAATCACAAGCAATGATCAGCAAACGGTGGGAACCCTACTAACACAAGAAGAGGTGTTGCTTCCTCCTGGAACCACATCATCATTCCAGCTCAGCCAAGAAGCAAGTAAAGTGGCTGGGAACAATGAAGCGAACCCAAGGAAAGGCATCAAGACTCACAGCCTGCCGAAAGAAGCACCTGAGCCTTGTGGCCCTAAGAAGCGATACCTGGAAAGAGATGAACAGAGCCAAGAGGTGGCCCAAGATGTAACAGCAGTGGAAGACAAAAGAACCCAAATGAAGACAAATAAACCATTAGCAGGGTCAAAACAGACTAGCAGCCCTACAGAGCCAATCCCCAGAGCTAAACAAGTCAGGAGGCAAAATGGTGGTAAGATCAGTGACAGATTTGAAGAACAGGAAGAGAACTTAAAGCGACAAGAAACAACACAGAGACCTCCAGAGCAGGTCTTCACTGCACCAGAAAAGAGCATTAAAAACCACTCTAAAACACTAGAACCACCCCTGCAAGGTGAAGATGAACCCAGGCCAGAGCGCACTGACCTAGTAGAACAAGCTGCTACCAGAAAACCATCTCAGACACAGAACTCAGCGAATCCTGCGGATGACAGATCGTCAGAGACTCCAGAACCAGGAAAGGACATTGACAGGACATCGCCTGAGACTAAGGACAGAGATGAACCTGAGGATTGTGGCAAGACATCTGAGACTCAGAAATCACCAGCACAAGAAAGAGAACATGAAATAACAGACCTACCAGTCCAAGGTGGTAACAAAGATATTTCAGAAACATCTGCTTTTAGAGCTGAAAGGAAAGAAAGTAAAGTCCTTGCAGCCCATGGACTAGCACAGCAGAAAGAAGGTGAGAAAAACACTCAGCCTCCAGTCCTGGAAGCCCAAACACAGGATGGGAAGCATCAGGAACGCCAAAGATCATCAAAAGTAAAGGATGCAAAAAGAGATCCTGAGACATCAGATCTAAGCACAGAAGAAAAAAATCAGAATTGCCCTGAAACTGGAGATGCTTCAACCCCACGAGAAGAGGTAGAACACACAGAGGAGGATAGAGCACCAGCATTTGTGAACAGCAAAAATGCCCCTGCTGCCAAAAGGACACCAGGAGCAAGAGAAAGAATCCAACGATCAGCCCCACTTGAGAGGCAGTCTGAAGGAAAAACAAGCAGGGCCACTGAGCCTTGTGACACGGCAGTTGGAGAGGAAGATGGCTACCAGGGGGAGGATCCTGAGGCCCCCACTGCACTGTGTAGCAGACAGTCTTGTGAAACTCCCAAGCGTCTGGTTCCAGAAGAAGGTGACAGCAGCTCAGAAACAGGTAAACTACATGTGCAAGGGGATTCCAGGAGGCAGGCACACCCACACAAAGGGTCTGTGCAAGGAAGTCACCAGAATAACCCAGAGCTCTGGAAGCTTGGGGCGCCAGGTGAGAACACCAGGGCACAGGAAGCAGTGGTAGTGGTAGTCAGAGAAGAAGATGCATACCTCCCAGAGGAACAGGAAGAGCCTGCCAGAGTAGACCATAGCACAGGGACCAAAAGTCCAGATGCAGCTGTGGAGCCCAGGGGATCCCTAGAGTTACGGAAGTCCACAACAGAAGGTAAAAGCAGGAAGTCCCTGGAGGCAGAAGTCCCAAGTGGCCTGGACACCAACTTCACTGTCACACAGCTCCCCAAAAAGGCAGGCAGCAGAAAAGATCTAAAGATCCAGGGCTCAATGACTGAAGAAGAGGCTGAAGCACCAGAGACACAAGGAATACTCTTTAAAAGGCCACATGAGGACATCTCACCCTTCTACAAGACTCACATTGAAGCAGAGAAACTGGCAACATTGGAAGAAAAGAATGAAAGTCCCTTCACGCCAGCAGAAGAAAGTGAGGACCAACAGAGTGAGAGAATGATTTTCAAAGCATACTCTTCAGTTCCTCTGCCAAGAATTGAAGAAAGGCTGCAGAGAGACCCAAAGCCCTGTTCTGTGCAGAGGAATGTGATCCAATCCAGCACACTATACCAGAGCCTGCAAGAGGAGCTAGAACACGCTAGGAGTGGTGGCTCACGCCTGTGATCCCAGCACCTCAGGAGGCTGAAGTGAAAAGATTGTAAGCTCAAGTCCAGCCTAGGCAACTTAGCAAGATCCTGCCTCAAAGCAAAAAACTGGGGGGGGGTGCTGAGGAGATGGATCACTAGAATAGGCATTTCCCTGGCAAGCTCAAGAGCCTGAGTTCAATTCCCAGTTCCGCCAAAAAAAAAAGAAAGAAAGAAATTGTAAAAGGATAGGGGTATACGTAGCTCAGTAGTAAAACTGTTTGCCTAATGTGCACAAAGCCCTAATTTCAATCCCTGGTACCAGAAAGAAAGAAAAAAAGCAAGAGAGAGAAAGAGAGGGAAGGAGGGAGGGAGGGAGGAAGAAAGCAGGGGGGAGGAGGGAGGAGGGAAGGGACAATCAGCAGCAAACAAACACAAAAACAAGCTCAGACAGTCGGGTGCAACATCCCAGTCAATGACACCCATCCCCAGTAGGACTGGTATCTATTTCAACTGGAGCCAAGCAGTGTATCAGGGAATTTCTACTTAATGAAGAGGACCCTATTGATCAGTAGCAAATATCAGCTCCCTAAGCCCTGGAAACAATCAGGGTCACTCTGAGAGTAGAGCCAAAGATAGAAGCTGTTACCACAAATAGAGGTGAGCCCCGCAAAGCAGGGAACAGGTCTTGTTATCACGGGAATTGCATAGATCTCAACTTGACCCAGACTTCTTCCCTCCAGTTAACCTGCAACATTTACATGCACAATCCAGATGCAGTTAATAATCCTTAACTAATAATCCTAAATGTCAACAAAAACAAATAATAAAGTATTCAGGTACTCGATCCACCACCAATTTGACCAAGCAAACACAATTGATAAGAGTCTTACAACACAATGCCATTTCCAAATGCCAAAGGGAACTTTCTTGTGAAATAATTTGCCTATCACTACAAATAGAATAATTCCTTCCACATCTTTACCAGATACCAATTTCTTCAACTAATGCACTGGCCTTTTTTTTTTTTTTTTTTTTTTTTTCAGTACCAGGGATTGAACTCAGGATCTTATGCTTGTCAGGCAAGCACTTATTCTATTGAACTATCTCCCTGGCCCCTCACTAGCCTTTTAAAATGTAGCGGCAGAAGTAATGAGACTTTGTGCTATTATCTTAACCTAAAATGCTAAATCAAACAATTCAGCTTTATGATATTTCCCAGGAGGATTTCAAGCATATCCTAAAATTTTAGCCCTTAAAATAACTTCACCTATATTCTTTGAATTTCTAAATTGCCTATTCTGTTATTTCAGAAATATCTTAATAAATATGCTAATTTGCTTTGTGTATAGTACTAGTTTCTTTTGCATCACTGAAAAGAAAGTTTTGTGCTAATATCTGTTATTCCTTGTAAGAAAAAGTCTTTTGGCCTGTGCATTGCAGTCTGAGTAGCTGGTTCAAAGATAGCAATGCACAGTATAATAGCTATTGTTATTCTCTTACAATTTTGTTGTGAATTTTTTGTTTTATTGTTTGACAAAATTAAAAAATAAATTCAAATATGACCATAACACAAAGTGATTATGATTTTCTTGCACCTGAAGGATTTTTTTTTGTGGGGGAGGGGGTTGGCTCAGGATGCCTTAAGGGCAGATCTGGTAAGGCCTGAGGATCTGGGAATCGAACCACATTATTCTTAGGCTGACTGCCTTCATTTTAGCAGGCACTTAAACAACTGAGCTAATGGGCAGGCCCCCAAGAAACTGGATTGGGTTGGGTTGGGTTGGGTTGGGTTTGGTTTGGTTTGGTTTGGTTTGGTTTGGTTTGGTTTGGTTTTTGGCGGAACAGGGGATTGAACTCAGGCCCTTGAGTTTGCCAGGGAAGTGCTTATTCTACTGAGCCATCTCCCCGGCCCCAATTTATCCATTTATTCATTCAACAGATTTTTATTAAATGGAAGTCCTTACAGAATGCAATCTCTGATTCAAATTAGCTATCAGAATAATTCGGGTAGTGGCTCCCATGGCTGACATAAAAACCTAAAGAACACACAGTTCTGTAAGAAGATTCCATAAGTAACCAGTCATCTAACAATTCTACTGAACACTTGCCCATGTGGTTTACTAGGGTTATTGAGCTAAAACTGACAATTGAATAACCTGATAGTCAATTTCTTTTGTTTATTCATTTTCTTTATTTTGATAAAGATGTGTCTTGGAGACATTGATCAAAACCAAAAATAATCTTAGTTATTCATGGTTTCTGAAAAGACTAATTAAAGAATGATGTTCTCTGAGCTTAGTCATGGGCCAGAACCAGTTTTGGTAGCCCAGTACCCACTATCCTTTTCAGTCTGCCCTGGAAGCTCAATATCCTTCCATTTCAACTTATATCTCTTCCAGAACACAAACTCTAACTACACATCTTCTTCCTAAGACATTTTCAGCAATTTTTATCCAACCTTTACATCTAAATGAGTAGTCTTACCTGAAAGATTTTTTTAAAAGTTATCTTAAATAACCAAGAGACAATTCACAGAGAGAGAGAGAGAGAGAGAGAGAGAGAGAGAGAGAGAGAGAGAAATGTAAACAAACCAGCCATTTTGGCAAGCAAATGTACAAAATATATCTAGGCCAAAAATTATACATTCCATCAATAATAAAATCGCAAAAGAATCTATGCTGATGGCAAGTAAGGACGTTCCCAGAGCTTGGGTCTGGACCATCCACCAAACACTCAAGAGTTAAAGGTTGGTCCCTAAGCTGTGGAGGTATTGGGAGGTGGCAGAATCTTCAAGGGGTGGGGCCTAGGGGAAGTCTAAGGTCACTGTGGGCATGCCCTTAAAAGGAGTAATGGAGCTGTGATCTCTTCTTTTTCCTTATTGTTTCCCAGATACAGCCCAGTGTGCCCTTTGTCCAGCCAGGTACTCACACCAAGATGTGCTGTCTCACAGCAGGTGTCAAAGCAACATAGTCAAGCATCGTGGACTGAAACTTCCAAAACTGTAAAACAAAATGAATATCTCCCCCATAAACTGATTAATCTCAGGTATCTGTTACAATATCAGAAAGCTGGCTGACATATATTCTACCTTTCATAACCCTCAAAAATCACAATTTAGGGGTGCTGGGGAGATGGCTCAGTAGAATAAGTGCTTGCCTAAGTGCAAGGGTCTGAATTCAATCCCCAGTTCTGCAAAAAAATAAAAATTAAAAAAAATATTAATAATAAGTGCTTGCCTAACAAGTGCAAGGTCCTGAGTTCAATCCCAGGTACTGCAGGGGAAAAAAAAAAAATTTACAGTTTTTTCACTTATCAAATTGGTAAAAAATATTTATTTATTTATTTTTTGTGGGGGGAGTACTAGAGACCCAGCACTTGCCAGATGGGCACTTATGCTGTTGAGCTAGCTCCCCAGCCCTACTGATTTGTTTCTAACAGCCACACAAATTT